GAAGAGCAATACTTGCATAAATGAACAAGATAATACGCTAAGAATTGAATCATACTGGTATGCCAACAATCTTAAAAATATTTGATCTGTTGCTACGTAAGTTTTGTACAGAAAACATCTACGTAAGTCACCTGCATTCCAACAGTAGCAGTTTTTTTGTCTTTTGCTTTCTTAAAGACAATGAAGGTTTTAATCTTGCTTCCTAAGAACCTAAGGTTATACGACTGTGGGTTGTGTATGTGCATATGTCTGTGTCTGTTCTCTTCTTCCCCTCCCTGTAACTTGAACCTGTTAGCTCCGTGCAGCCAAATTTGAGAGAGGGTCATATTCCTCAATGGTATTAAGCTCCTACAAGTTTCATGAAAATAGCTAGCTGGGTAGGAATAAAGACCCCTTCAGTGCCCCAGCTAGCAGGAAGGTGACAGAATTCTTAGATACCAGTGTATCCACATCATGGAGATTCCTTATAAATTCTGGTCTCCGATTATGGTAAATACCATCTAGTTTATGATCGTGATTTGTAATTTACCGTATGAATTGCAGGAAAAAGAGAGGAAATCAGTTTTACGTAGTTCTTGTACTCATGGGAGTCTTTCATTCTGTAGTCAAAGCTCCATTGCAGCACACTCCACTCAGTCTGATGAAGAATTTGGCACTTCAGCATGTCACAGAGTGCAGATGTCCTGACAAGGAAGAGCACAGTATCTTCCAAGGAGTACCCAGAATTGGCATTTGGGGAATACCACAGGATTTGTCTTTCAATAACTCTAAAAGATAAAACAGGGAGAAGCCATGTAGAGTTTGTCAGCAAGTCTAAAAATTAAATTGGGTTTAGTGAAACTGGGATTGGGAAGAAAGAATTTCCTGACATTTTACATATATAGCTTGTTTGGTTGGTTAAGGATTAAATCTAATTATAGCTTTCTTTTGAGTGTGAAGAAAGATAAAGCAAGATTTTATATTGCTTCATTAAAATTGAAATATCTTTCAAAGGTCTTTGAAAATCATACATTGATTTTCAGCTCATATTATAGGTCACACATTAAACTGAAATATGTTGTTTTAATTATGTGCTACAAAACATTTTTACTGTTCTTGAGTTCAGAGTTGACAACAAAATTATGAGCTTAAAGGGAAAAAAAAGTCATTTTAATATTTTGAGATGCATTTATTCTCCCCATCTTGAACAGTCCAGACTTCTGAACTTCAGGAAGTTTGAAACTTCCTTTCTAAGAAGTGTACTGGATTCTTCTGTGTTGTTCCTGAGAGCGAACAGATAAGATTTGCTGTGCGAGATTCTCTTCTTGCAGGTGCAGTCTGCTGGAATTTAGCAAGCAGTAGCCTTGACAAGGCACTAGAAGAAACTGAAGTCTCTCCCATTTGTGTTGTTGAACAGAGTATGTTTCTGTAAGTAAAGTAAAAGTAAGGACAGGTAAAAACTGTTGAATATACGTAAATGTTGAGACCAGGTCACACCAGATGTCATACACCAAATCATTTTAATAAGTAATATAGTAGATATACTGGTAAGAAAGCGTACTGGTAAGAAACCTTAAACATCGCATCCCTCAAGTGCTTCAGGCATGCTGCTATGCCACATCACAAATCTGAACAATAATGCTTTTGAAAGGCAGGACCTCCATTCCTGGACAGATGGAAATTCACATTTAAACAGTAGTATAATACCTTGAGACTTCTGTTTCTTTAATAGGTATGTGTTAAAGATACGTGAAACTGAGACCAGATACTGTCCTAACAAATAGCTGAGTTTATACTTCAACCTTCACTAACACTGGTCTTGTTACCAAGGATAGCTTCTCTCTACTGCACGTCTCCTCTTGTTTTTTCTAATTGTGTGGTTTTAAACTAGAATTTTCCTACATAATATGTTATTCTTTAATGCTGTTGTGCTAGAACGTTATTCTTCATTAACTGGAGCCACATTACTTTAAATGGATTACTAGTTATCAGAACGAGATGGTTTTATATAAGCGTGCAAGGCACCTCATGCCATTCAGAAATGATGGTTAGAATATTGTAAAATATGCATCGAGTCCCATTAAAACAAACAAACCAAACCCAAACCAACTTGCTAGTTAATCTTTATAGCCCGAATCTCAGCAATAGCGATGTGAAGCTCCTATTCCTGTTTCAAGTTAAAATTCTTTACTAAGGTGAGGTTTGCAGTGGAAGAAAATACCTTTATTAGACCAGCACATAACTTTGGGAAAAATTGACAAGCTTTTGGGCAGTGAGCTGAGCTTTTAAGATGTTGTAATAATTCTAGCATTCATGTGTAATAACAATGATGTAATCTTTATAATGAGATTTTTGATGCAAAAAGTTAGGCCCCTGCTCAGTCAATCACATGTTCAAGTAACTTTCTTGTATTAGAATGAATGAATTTGGCTTTATTTACATTTGAAAAATCATTACTGGTGTTGTGCTCCATGATTTAAACTGTCACTGTTATAATGTATATTGGTGGATCAAGCCCTTCATGTAGAAGAGGAGAAGGACGATATAACGAGTTACATAGTGTACAAAAAGCAAGAAGACTCTCGTTTTGATGCCAGAGAGGGAACTGTGAGGAATGACACTTCCATACACCATAAATGCAAGCTGTATGAAGCCTGTCTTGGGTGTTCAGGAATAAAAAGCTGTAAGCAGAGAAATACAAGTAAATGATTGCTTTAAGGAGACAAACGAGATTTTTTTCAAGTGACCCAGAAGATGTCAAGTGATGAAAGAAACATAGGGGTACCACTAGACTGCATTTTAGATGGTTAGTGCATTGATAGCACTGCAAGTATCAGGGCCCATGTGAGGGCAATCTGAGGGTCAAATGAGTGCTTCTCAATGAAGGCTGGAAGGAAAATGCTATTGGCATGAGTAAAGGGCAGAGCATAAATGTGCCAGTTAGGAAAAGGAAATAATGTCTGCTTTGATTGTACTTAAATGAAGATTTGCTTATATCCAGGAGGAACTACCCCTAAGAAAGGAAGACACCGACCTTTTAGATATGGGAAAGAATGTTTTCACTGAAAAAACCTGACCAGGACAAATGCAGTCCAGCAGACAAAATTTAAAAAATGTTAGAACACTTAGCACAAAGCTCATTGTAATGATGGCAAGGACACTTTTGGGGATCCTCTAAGGCATCAAACATATTTAGTAAGTAGGAAAAAGAAGTATTGTGCAGAGTCAGAAAGACTGTGTAAACTGAGTTGATAAAGAATGATCCAAAGGTCCAAAACTCGCTGATAAGTTGAGAAGGACAGAAAAAGAAGCAAGACCTTTGGATTTAGCCACAAGCCAATCATTAATTTTTCTAGAAGGTCAATGTGACTAGAGTGACCTTAGCAAAATAAACTGAATCAAACAACAAGCATTTGAGCAGAACTAGAATAAACTTAAGGGTTTTCTTTATTTAAATTGATGCCAAAATTGGTAACTAGGAATTAAGTAGCATGAAGAAAATTCCTTTTTGAAATGAAAACAAATATCCTTGCATCCTTTTCAATACAAGAATAGTGTCAGAGGCGATTATGTTACAAATGAGTCCTAACAAAGGATGAGTCCTAAGATGAGTTATGAAAAAGTTCGGCAGTCGTATGAAACAGGGTAAAGCGTGCTTGACATCATACCAACTGAAATAATTAACTTTGCTCTGAGAATTATGTCAGTTCATGAAGAGAGCACCTGCACTGTCCTATTTCTCCTGGGAAGATGTAGTATTTACCTGTGCCAAAACAGCAAACTGCTGAATGATTAATTACCCAGTAGAATAAAACTTGCTCACTTGTGTATCTAAGGTGTGTTAAAACTGTAGCTGATTTCCTGCATTCTAGGACTGTAGCTTATATTTTAATATACGTTAATACGAGTGTTGTTTACCTTTTTCCTGCTGTAGGTATAGCCAAGTTCACTAGCACTAGCTGTGATCTTACATGTAGGAGTCATGTTAAGTGTCGTGTCTGTTCACAGCCGTGCCCCACTCTACTAGCTCTGGATAATGAAGCACAGGCTGAAGGAGTATTGAGCAAGGCTGAAGAAATGCTAGGCACTGCATGGGTGATAAAGGCAGAACCAAAAAGAATAACTTCTTTTCTTTTTTTTCTTTTTACTTCTGTAAGGCAAAATGAAATTATTTTAAAGAGAACTTTTATGCAAAGTTGAGAAAATGCAGGACAGCAGGCTAAGAGGGATATATTAAATAGGTAGCAAACACATTTCTCATTGTAAACTGCAGTTCTGTCGAGATAGTATATTTTATCATAATTCTGTTCATTTTATAATGAAGAGATTTTGCAGGGGGAAAGAAGGGTGTAAGTGTAAGCTAACCATTTTAGATTTTCATCTTAAGACAGCTTTTTGTAATATTACAGTATGTATTTTTAAGAAGCCAGAATTTGAAATTAAACATTTGAAACACACTTTCAGTAACTAAGGAATTAAAATATTTTTAGGCAAATCACAAAATCTTTAGGTCTTAGTCTAAAAATCTGAATTCTTGAAAATACAAATTGGAATTTTTGGATAAAATTGAATTTCTGTTGTCTACTACAGCTTTAATGAAGAACATGCATATTTGATGACTGAAAATAACTGAATGATGCACTTCGGCACACTTTTTAGAGAAGGCGTTTCAACCTGACTGGAAATCTTCAAAGTCAAATTGCTGCTAAAGAGCCATTTGTGGAAATGAAATCCAGGTATGTTTAAAGAAGCCGTCAGTCAGCTCTGGAGAGAGCCTCATCCAGCCAGACTGCGGCTCTCCGGGCCTGGGGCTCGATTGCTCCGGCTGCTCTTCCATCCCGGCTGGCGGGCAGCACCGCGGTACCCCCGCACCTCGCCGCTCTCCGCATGGGCTCCGCACGCCCTCAGCCAGTGGGCGGTGCGGGGGCGTGGCGGGCCGTTATAAAGAAGGCGAGCGGGCGGAGGGCGTAGTTGTGCTGCCGGTGGGGGCGGGCGTGGAGCTGTCGTGTCCTGCCGGCAGAGATGCTGCGAGTGCGGTGCTTTCGCGGGGGGAGCCGGGGAGCCGAAGCGGCGCATTACATCGGTTCGCGGGTTGGTGCCAGGCAGATCCGCCTCCGCGCTTAGAGGGGCTGGGGCTGGGGCTGAGGATGCCCCGTCGGGAGCGGGGAGGCTTGCCCCGAGCGGTGGTGAGTGGGCGCGGAACGCCTCCAGGCTTTTTTGACTGAGGCTCACCCGTGCGACCTCCCGGTGCAGCAGCACAGAGTTCAGTGACTCCAGTTGCTACTGTCAGTGCTGTGCTATTACTCTCCTAAGCTGCTTGTATTTTAAAAGGTGAATTGTCCTTTAAGCATCTAGTAGGGCATGAGTAAGTTAAAATGGTTGGAACAAGTAGTGTGTTTCTATTAATGCTCCAAATAATGTACATTGCTTTGGGATTACAGTATGAGGCACTTGTGGACTGAACCATTGCTTTTTTGCCTTTTCAAAGGGAAGCATAACTTTCATTCTTATTTTTATTTTAAGCTTGGAAAAGTCTTTACAGGATGGGTGCAGCGATCTTTCCAGAGCACCCAGGCAGCTGCAGCCTCTCAGAACACCTGTGCTGCTGATGACAACAAGGCAACTAGCCCTGTGCCTAAGGACTGTCCTGTTTGCTCCTACAATGAATGGGACCCACTGGAAGAGGTCATTGTGGGGAGAGCTGAAAATGCTTGTGTCCCACCTTTTTCTGTGGAGGTTAAGGTAAACAATACAAAATCCCCTTAAATAGGAAATAATGTGGGTTTTATACATGCAATTTGTTGAAGCTTTACAATGTGCAAGGTGTGATGTTTACTTTAGAGGATTCTTCTTTCAATTAGTTTGCATCTGTGAAATTTTACAGCACAGTCACGTTGGTGGGGAATATGCCTTTTCTTTCCACTTTCAACTGAATTAGTTGTTTTAACAGAAGTCAATAGTGGAAAGAATCTCTAATATGTACAGTCTACTCTAGTGATATGGCCTTGCTGTTGTCAAAATAAATACTCTAGCATTTAGGATAGTTGGTAGAACTGATGAAAGTTCAATTGGGCTCAAAACTAAGTAGGGTTACCCCTTGGGAAAAAAAAAGTGTCGTTTTCTACACTAGCAAATTTGAGTTGCATAAGGAAGAATTGAGGCTTTGGAGTGGAGATGCTTTAAAAAACACAACTCAGATTATAACAGCTTTGGTAAATACTTGCTCTGAGGTACTTCTAGGTCATGTCTTAAAATTGTATGTGTGTTTATGTACAAAATATTTAAGTGCAGGAAGTACGGCTCCATTCAGCATTTTCTTATACTTTGGGACGTGCTTTTTGGTATATGCAAGTCTTTTTGCTGTGATGTGGAAACGACGTGCTTGGCATAAGGAGGAGGAAGGAATTAACTGAACAGGGAGCCCTAAATATGTGATAAATATTAATGAGCTGGCACTACTGCATATCCTTTTGGGAGCTTGAAATGGGCTATGTAGGTTATGTAGAGGAAAATACGCTATTGGGAAACATGGGGCATCTTAACTAGAAGTCAGCAACTACATTAATTAGGAAGATGCCTTTTTTTAATTAAAACTTTGGTCAAAAATCTTACAGTTCAGCTGTATTCTTCTGAAGCAGTTGACGCTTAGTCAAACAGTTGAGCTTTATAGGTTCATACTCTGCAATGTTTTTCAGTGTACTTTGTGAATAACAATTTTTGGAGAAGCAGTATTATTACCACAGTTCATTGTATCTTGAGTGAGAAGCTGTGTGTGTGTTTACTACTGAATTAGGTAAAAAACATTTTGATCCGAATCTCTGTTTCAATGTATTAAATTTAATAACTGTCATTACTAGCTTTAAAGTACATTGCCAGAGCATTAACGTTGATAATGTTAATTATTTTCCACAACAAGAGTTTAAAATGTATAGCAACTATAGGGAGTAATTTGGCTGTTTCATAAAGACAGTAATTTCATTATAGCACACTTAAATTTCTTTCTGAAAAGAAAATGCTGCTACTTTTTTCTTAGGTACTCTCAGACAGTAGGGTATAAGGTGCATTGAGGAGATTAATATTTAAAGCTCTTTTTTGTGTCCTAGCCATGGTAGTTTCTGAATAGTCTGAAACAAGTTGTATGTATATGATCAAAGGAGCCTGAAATCACAACCCTGAGTTGGTCTGAAATAGATGCCCAGTCATATCTCCTTCTCCCAGTTACTCAAAGTAGGGAACATGAGTGGTGTTATGGTACTAACCCTCACTCTGTCTGAACTTCAAGATTATGCCATCATATTGGTGCAACACAAGCAGCATTTCTCAGGTTTGAAAAAATACCGAAACTAGAGCACACCTGGTGAAGAGGGGAGCTGCACCTCATAGGAATTAATGATATTCACATGCATCACAGGCGGCTCTGAAAATAACTGGCTTTACTCCTTAGGACAAATTTGTCTCTTTAGCAGAACGGGTTTCCATAGGAATGCTAGGCACTTCTTATGATCTGCATGTGACTTCTGAACAGCTGGCAAGTCTGAGGTGATCGAATTACCCAAGACCTCACTCAGAGAAAAAGGATAAATTCCTTCAGGAAGGATGGGAAGAAGCTTCAGTATTGGAGGAACAGGATGGCCATGCTGAGACCTTTGCCTGAGCTCTCTATATAAAGTTTAAGGATCTCTAAATGGTTGAATTTTCTGTCTTCTGTCTTACCTCTCTAGAATGAGGCCAAATACCCAGACATAGAAGAGAATAGTGGATAGCCTGCATTGCTAAAGGAGGTCAGGCTTGCTTTCAGATGAATTGCCTTGCCTGCCTGAGGCTCACTGACAGTACTAACACAAAAAGGACATAATTATATTTTTTTTGACCAGAACATTGTATTCTGGAAGGTAGTCAGGACGGCAGTGTCAGCAGATAACCTCATGTTTAGGAGGGGAGGTTCTCCTGCATCCCTTTGCTGTCACTCATACTACTTGAATGAGCAGGACTCTGGCAGAAGGAAGACCTGACCACTTGCTTGCCTGTTCCTGATCCCTTCTGCTGTTGTTCCAGAAGGGCTCCATATGCTCTTGTTCCTCTTTCAGGTTAGTGTTAGCAGAGACCCATCAAAATTGCTGGTTTCACAGCTTATAAATCTGAATGAAGTACTTTCAAAGATACACTGAACTGAAGCAGCATAATTTGTTCTGATTGTGTGTCTGGATCATATTGAAGTATTGAAGTATTTTTTCTTCCTCCTCTCCTGCCTCTTTATTTTAGAAGAATAAGCAAGACATTAACTATTCTTAGCAACTCTTCAAAATATTGCAGGAATCGAATATAAGGCACACAACAGTGGCATAGTGCATACAAAGAAATAGGGAGTCAGTGAAAAAAGAACAAGAAACTTTGAACATTAAGAACTATGTCTTCTACATCTATCTCACTCTACTAGAATAACTAATGCTTATTCTTTGTCACTTACCTGTCCTTTTGTTTTAGGCCAACACATATGAAAAGTATTGGGGATTTTATCAGAAATTTGGAGGCCAGAGTTTCCCCAAAGACCATTTAAAAAAAGCTGTTGCTGAAATTGAAGAGATGTGCAATATTTTGAAAGGAGAAGGTGTAATTGTCAAGAGGCCCGAACCAATTGACTGGTCCGTGAAGTATAAAACACCTGATTTTGAGTCTACAGGTAAATGTTCTTCCACTGTTGAAGGCCTTGTCTGTTTAGCATTTATCATGACATTTTGGATGTCATCTAGTCTACCACCTTGTTTGGAGCAGCACTATTGCTAGTGTTAGATGAGGTCAGTGATCGTTTTGTGTAGCTACAACTTGGAAAATCTCCAAGGATGGAGATTCTGCCATCTGGTTTGCTGACCTTTTTTAGTGTTGCCTGGACTTCCTAATGAAAGACAATTTTCCTAATATGTAACCTGAACTTCCCACACAGGTATTTGTTGTCAGATTCCCTTGCTATGTTGTCATTGCCACTACCAAGAAGTGTTCATCTGTCATGTTTAGTGGCCCTGATAGTAGCTGCAGGCTGTTACTGCTTTATCCCCTACTTGCCACATGAAATAAGCTGAACTCATTCCACTTCTCCCAGGTCATGTGCTATAAGGTCCCCCCTGTGAGTCTTGATAGCCCTTTGTTGGATCCTGGAGTTGGATCCATCTTGAACTATGGAGGCCAAAACTGGAAACAGTTTTCCAGGAGGATCCTCACTAGCATCAAGGACATTTTAACATCCCTTTACCTTCTGGCTGCATTCCTCCTTGTATAGCAACATATGGCTATGGTTATTTGCAGTGAAAGCACAGTGACTCATACTCAGCTTTGCACCAACTGTAGTCTCCAGGCTCTTTTTATGTCAAATGTGTTCTTAAGTTCTAGTGGAATTCAAATTCATTAGGGAACAGAGAATGCTAATGAAAAGTATTATAGGACCACTTCCTGCACTAGTTCTGTGTTGCATCAAATTCCTCTTCTATGCTATTACTTGCTACCCATTACCACCTTTTTAAGTAGTCTAATTCATAAGCATTTGTCTAGTTGATTACCATTAACCAAATTATGAAGTGGAGGCATATAGGTTGTGGATGGTTTTCATCTAGCTGTAAACTTGTGAGTGAGGCTTTGTAGCAAAGTGTTGCATGAATTTTGAACTAAAAATGTCTTTGAAAATACACGTAGGGAACAGAATAGAATGTAGGGACCTCAGATTATGTGCTGGTTTCCTGGCTTTTGTAAAGATGCTTCTTGCCAGCCAGTCTTCTGGATAGAAGTAATGGTAAAAAAGGGTGAAAAGGGTAAAAAGTGAGTAAGACGAAAGAGCTGAGAAAGAAGAGCTGTCTCATAGACTAATGGCATTTTTCCTTTTAGGTATGTATGCTGCCATGCCAAGAGACATCTTGTTGGTGGTGGGAAATGAAATTATTGAAGCACCTATGGCTTGGCGTGCTCGGTTCTTTGAGTACAGAGCATACAGACGAATAATCAAAGATTATTTCAACTGTGGTGCTAAGTGGACAACTGCCCCTAAACCCACAATGGCAGATGACCTCTATGATCAGGTATTGTTCTCATTTTGCTTCAGAACATCAGTTCTGGCTATACAGCGTTTTGTGGATAATTTCAATCTGATATCTGGGTTTCACAAAATGGAGGAGGAAGTGGAACAAAACAGCTCTGGAAACTTGTGGTTTTTCTAATGCATGCAAATATTCTCTAGCCTTTCCAGGTAAACTGTGTGCAATTAGGGAATAAGAAACAGGAAGTCGTGCCTATTGAATTAAAATCTGCTTTGAATTGCTTTGATTACTGGCTGTAACTTAGCATTACTAAAGAGGAAGGAATGCTAGAAAGACATCGCAAAGATTACCTTAAAGGATTAAGATTCCCTGAGAATGTCCATATGTCCTGAGTGTATCACGAAAGAAATATATATATATTTTGGCACAGAAAAAAAACCTCGTAACACTCGTTTTGCATGATGATTAGTATTTTTAAAGTTACATAAAAGAAGTTATGATCTACACTGTGAGTGTTTACCTTTCAAATAATTAAGTGACTATTTTCTTATTTTTTTCTTTTGTAATAATTTTGACAGTTTTGGTAGTTTCTTGTATGTCCCCGAGTGCATTTGGGCCTTGGTAAGAGCATCTGCAATAAGTGCAGTTGGCAGTGGACTGATTATAACCTTCTGGGAATGGTGACATCTTATCAATGATGCAAAGAAGTTTTTGTCAAATAAAATCACCTTAGGGTAATCTGTCAGTATTAGAAAACTTCCAGATCCTGTTCTAAAGCATACTTATTCAGTAGTTTGTTTGTGTTGGTTTTTTCCACCTCATTTGTCCTTAATTGCATTGATTCATTCTAAAATCTATTAAAATCACTGAAGATCTACCTTCTAGTTTGAAGTACTGCTCCATTCTAAACAGTGGAATAAGTAAGGATTACATCCTTGCCAGGAAATAGCTTGCATAGCAGTATTGTCACCGTGCAGTGATTTGTTGGACTGATGGTTAAACTGCACTGGTAATGGATGCTTTTAATCCAGAAGCCAGAATATTATAGAGACAGTGGCTCTGAAGAGCAGTTAACTACTTAGTGTAACTGCCGTCTCTTATCACCTAGTCTTGAGTAGACCTAAAACTATCTACTTCAACTTCCACGTTTATGCTTTCTTTTTTTATTCTAGTAACAAGTAGCAAATAGTTTGAAAACATTCCCTTGCCATTTCCAGCCTAAAACTGTTACTCTTTTTTCTCTAACTAGGATTATCCAATCCACTCTGTTGAAGACAGGCATAAACTGGCTGCTCAGGGAAAATTTGTAACTACTGAATTTGAGCCGTGCTTTGATGCTGCTGACTTCATTAGAGCTGGAAGAGATATCTTTGTACAAAGGAGCCAGGTAAAAAAAGGTTTCTTCCAACAGTTTTGGTATCTATATTAATAATTGATGCTGGTGTTTATGTATTGTTAAATTCCTGATCAGCATTAAAATAACTATGTTGACAAAATCTGCTATTTGTAGAATGTCTGATACATAGAATAGGACTGTCTTACAGCTAAGACATTACCTAAAGGCACAAACTTCTAGTATTTTTGCTTTAAATATTTATTTAAATAAAACCTTAGATAAACTAAGCTTGGATGCAGTTTATATTCTAGCCCAGGAAAACTTACTTTGTCCTGTTTTCAGGTTACAAATTACATGGGCATTGAATGGATGAGACGACACCTTGCACCAGACTACAGAGTGCACATAATATCCTTTAAGGATCCTAACCCTATGCACATTGATGCCACTTTTAATATCATTGGACCTGGTCTTGTGCTCTCTAACCCAGACCGCCCTTGCCATCAGGTAAGAGTGTAGCAAAAAGGAAAGTGTTTTGAGTTTAAAAAAACTCAGCTGGATTAGGTCCCTGCTGGATGATTGCTAATCCAAAAGTTTATTTTGGATACACTTGAATAATATTAAATTATTAAATTTAAGTAGCAGTCAGTTGTTCAGGAACTTATAGATGTATTTGCATCTTAACTCTACAACTTTCTCAGCAGTTCAATGACCGTTGTTCTCCCCGTGTTTGCTGCTGCTGCACTTTTGAAGAGTAGGAAAGGAGACATGCTTCAGTATGTAAAACAGGCAACTTCACTGAGAAAAAGCTAGTGTTGCTGAACAGTGCAATCAGATCAGAAAGCCTTCCAGAGAGTAAGAGCTTCTCTCTCTTTCAGATATGTTACCTGTACTGTCAGTGCTTGGGGATTTTTGTGAGGATCCCTGTGGTTTCAGGAGCTGCACAACCACATGGAATAGCTGAACCAATACAGAGTCAGTGGGACAGAGCTGTGTGCAGTACAGACAGGACCACGTGCACAGCATGGCTCTTAGAAGTAAAATTAACATCTTCTCAGCAAGTGGTTTCAACACAAATGGTCCCGTTGAATTACTGCCTCTTGTAATATCCATTATGATAATATTTTTTTAAAACAAACATAGCTTTTTCGTCCAAATTTCTCTTCCCTGTTTTTCATAATCTTACTTGCAAGAGGAGGCTCTTGGACTCCCTGTATTAAACCCACATGCTGGGATTTTTTTTTAACGGAAAACTCCTGCATGTAGATAAAAAAGATAGATGCAGGTTTCCCTTATAAAACCGGATTTGGCAGGTCTGAATGACCGGGAAATGGAGGTGTGCATGTGAAAGGGGGCTTGTCTTTAAAATCCTGGCAGGCTAGGCTGGTTATCGAGTTTTCAGAATTGGAGCTCCACCTCGTGGTAACACTTG